TAAAGTCCCTCAGAGGATGATACACATTAGCTAAGAATAGTTTTCTTATCTTTTCATTATATGATGATATTAGTGATCAGTATGGATATTTCCAAAAGGATATAAATCCAAGGAGAGCTCTATTGTTAGAGACAGACCAATAATTATTAATAAAAAGCACAAACGCTTAAAATTTCCTGAGGTTATATTTATTTCATTAGAGTCGTAAAAACAGCCCCATTTCATCAGACATTCAAATCCAAAACGAAACAGAAAATATTTCTCCAGGTTTAAGTAACAAAATTTATTTGAAAGTGGGCAAAAAAAGTTGGAAAGAAAGATCCATAAGTAAGATTGAGAGAGAGGTGGAAAGAAAGACATTAAAAAAGTGTATATGAGATTGTGGAATGGAAGATAATGTAATCATATTGTAATCATTCAGAGAGAGGAAGTAATAGAGAAATTTAAAAAAAAAAAATTTAGATTGAGACAAATAGAAGTTTTTCTTTCAGTTAAAAAAAAAAATGACTTTTGACTTGTTGACCTAATTTAAAATACAAACTACGGAAAACATGGATACATCGATTGTGACCGTTAAATGCACATGAAAGGGAAAAAAGAAGAGAAAAAGAAAAGAACAAAGAAAGGGGAAATCAGTGATAGATGGTTATATGTGCAGTCAAAATATTCTGTCTGGCCTCCATTTACGTATTCATTAAAAAGAATAAAAGAAAAAAGGGCCTTTAATCTAATTTTCTTGTAAAGATTTCAAATTTAACATAAAAATATAATACAGTTAAAAAAAAACGTATGTAACACACACACATATATATTTAGGCAGCAATCCTTCTTTTATGCATGTTTCATTGAATATGGCAGACAAGGTGCTTTGATTTAGTTTTTTATACAATTTCTCATGTGATCTTATGATTTTTTTTCTTTTTTGGTAGATAAATTATATAAAAACTGTCCAAATGTTTTTTTTTGTTTTTTTTTTCAAGCGTTTTCAGCTATACATTTAGCCATTTTCATGGTTCAAATATATTAACTGTTAACAAGCCCCCCCTCTCTCTCTCTCTCTCTCTCTATATATATATATATATATATATATATATATATATATATATATATATATATATATATATAAAAGGGTAAGATTTTCCCTGTATAACTTATAATACCTGCACATGTTGCCAATTTCAGTTCATAGGCATTAAGACACTAAATAAACAGTTACTTAATGTAATCAGTTTTAAATTATGTAGGAAATCCACACAAATCTCCATTATCCCATGTAATTAACACCAAAATAATAATTTTCTGATTTCTGTTAAGTTCAAATAATATTATTTGAATTTAACAGAAATCAGAAAATACTATTTTCAGATTTGTTAAATTTCTATTAATTGATCTGGTTAAAATCATGTCATGAATATCCTTTGACTCCTGCAATCTAATCTCTGCCCATTCACTGCTTACCAACTGCCTCTGGCTATATTTCTCAAGTTGTGTATTGGCTTATAAGCAGGGATTTTTCTGTTAGAAATCTGTAGGTCATTACCATGAAGGTCAAACATGATTTTTCTTCTGATCTATTTCACCTTGGGGCTTTTATAATGTCTTCATCCTTTGTCTGCATGTCTATTACTCTAAAAGCACAGAAACTGCTAGGATACTCTTGTGAAGTGCTTCATTGAAGACTTTTCTTATAAATGACTAATTCATTATTGTTTTAGCAATTAAGATCATGCAGTCAAAGTTTAAGAGATGTATTAAAATAAATATTCATCAGAATCTTTATTTCCTCTTGTAGATTGTATATTTTAATGATTGGTGACAAGCTAAAAACTCATTTGAGGCTTGTGCATTTTGTTCAGTTGCTTAGAAATCATAGATGCTTTGTGATATTCTTTATTAAAGCTGAGAATTTAGTAGTACTTGTAAGGTAGTCGCTGATAAAATCTGTGTAAAAATGAACATAAGCTCTTTTAAAAAAAAATATGTACGAATTGTCATTTTAGTTTATATTTTGAGATATGTCAAGTATTAATCAGTAATCAATTTTTAAATGTCATTGTTTTGATAATTTAAGAATTTTAATGAAGTATAAATAAGGATATATTTTGGTAGCTGCTTTTGACTTTCTATGGCTCTATGATGTCTAGTGATCTTCTTGGAGCAGAGTTTAGACCCGTTCTTCCCAAACATTTTTGAGTCATTGCCCACTTGTGTAGTAAATATTCAAAAGCATGCACAAATTGTTTGATAAAAGTTTATTACTGGTTCATAAACAGACTTTAGGATGCCGCAAAAATACCAAAGGAAGTTAACAAATAACACTGACTTATATGGCAACTGCTGCTGTGAATATGCACTAATAGCAGCTAATGAAAATTCAGCGAATATTTTTTTTTTGATTTTGGTCTTCCTATAACTGATTTATATACCAAAAAAGTTGTTTTGTCTGAAGAACTATTGTAATGTTAATGGACCTTCTCAAAGCAATAGAAAATACCAAAATAGTCATTGTTTGTGGGGATATTTAGAGTTTACCTTGGAATGTGACCCAGTTTTTCGCATTTAGCCCCCTGATTTTTTATACGGGTTGTTTGCATGTCACCTTTTAATATTTTTTGTGGGTAACATATGTTGAAATAACTTTTTAATACTGAAAATCCTATATCACCAAGGAAAATTTCCAATAACCCACCATTTTCTGTTCAGTTGCTCATTGCCCAACTAACATTTGAAAACACCCACTGGTGGGTGATATCACCTATGTTGGGAAATCTTGATCTAGACCATTTGTAATTTCAACTTGTAATTAAATCCAAGATTATTATTTTTATTTACTTATATGTTGAATTATTTTAAGGTTTTCATATTCCAATTTGTTTTAGTACTGACTGAGAACAGGCAATACACTGAAATGTCCTGGTCATATATTAATCCTAAGGGTTGTGTAGATTAAAGATTATTGCCCTTTCAATGCATCTTTGAAAAAATTATTCTATCCTTATTTTTTCTTTAATTAAAACTACATTTCCATGTCCAAATTGTGATCCTAAAGGTTCTAAAGGCATACAAAGCATTGATTGTACTCTTTTATTTTAAGTCACTGTTTTCTTTTAATTCGGGATTGTTTAATATCTCTATATTATATTTGCTTTTTTTCTGAACTATTGATTTGGCAGGTATTGGAGCTCCACTGTAATGACCTTACCCAATGTTTTACTGTTTAAACACTAAGCAGTATGCCCTAATTCCATGTTTAATGAAGTATTTGTCTCTGCTTAAGTGTAATTCAATAATTTTTTTTTTCTCTTGTCAACTTCTCTTTTAAATGCTTCATGATTTTTTTTTTTTGATTTATTGCTATTACTACTACTACTACTGTAACTTTATCCTTGAACTATTTGATGATATAAGCAGATTACTAGAGAATATATCTCTTGTATATTTATTTATAGGATATTACCAGGGTCTTTTAAGCTTTTAAATTGTTGTTGCTGGTCTCTGCTCTCATCACACTCCCACTCTCCTGTTTTTTGTTTCTCTTCCTTATTTTATATCTCCCCACACCTGTTTACCTACTGATGTGGAAAATTAGAACTTACCTGTTACTACCTGCTTATTAAATACTGTTTGGTTGACTTATTATGGAGTGGATGGGTGGGGTTCAGGATCTGTCTACTTATGCAAACATTTCTTTCATTATTGATCACCCGTGTCCATACAAGTGAAATTTCAGTCAGACAAACCAGTTCGTTCCTGGGTCAGAGAATGAGAAAAAGGTTAGCTTTTTGTCATATTTATTTTTTTGAATTTTTGTCATCTATTGCACAATTTTTTTTTTTTTTTTATTATAAATCCTGTAATTTTAGAAATTCATTTACATTTTTTCAATAATTTATTAAATAAGTAATTTTTTTTTCATTTCAGTGATCATTTTAAATATTTTATCAGCTTGTCTCTTCACAAATTAATTTTGTATTTGCATATTAAATGACTGGATACATTTTTTTGTTTGTCTACTGACTTAAATTCTCTTCTCTACTTATTCTAGAGCTGAAAACTGTCATAATGACTTGTTTTTTGTCTGGCACAAAGCATTTGCAGGAGGAAACTATTTAAAACTTGTTTTTTTATTATTTTATATTTTTAGAATTTCCAAATTTGACCATGAAAAGTTGTTTTTCAATGACATTTAATATCCACCATCTCCACAAAATAGTCTCCATTGTCTCTGCAATCTGAGTCATTTTTTAAAAATTCCAAATCTATACCAGTTACATTATTCAAATTTTTGAATAGCACTTTATATTTCTATTCTGTTTATATTATTCCTTCTGATAATTAGATTTTTCTTGGATTTTATTTTTTATAATCATTCCACCCCAAGCAAGGCAATAAAGTCACTAAGAGGCAAAGGCTACTGTGTGTGAAAGAATGAGAAAAAATACTATTAAAGAGAGAGAATAATAAAAGAACAGGAATTAAAAAAGAAAGAAAAAAAACATAAGATAATGATTAACATTGCATTTAAATTTTTGAAGATCAAAGTTGACTGGAAAGCAAGAAACTGGAAGAGAGTTCTATAAGGAAGAAAAAGAAACTGTTAGCATAGAACTTGTGGTTACAGCTAACCATTTGAACTGTAAATTGATGAGACCTTGAAAATATTTTTGTGCCTTCAACTTAAGTATTAAATCCATACGGGACAATGTTTCTGGAAAAGCTTCCAGTTTACTTTAGCCTATTTATCATTTTGCTGTTTATTTTATTTTTTATATAGAATTAATCCTTCTCTGTTCTGATTCACACTGTATTGAGTTACAGTATCTATGCTCTCTTTATAAAGTACAAGCCTAATGACCTTGATTGTACTAGGCTCTCTGCATCTCCTAATGACTGTGAGTATGTAGATTTTCTGCAAGTAATTTTCTACCTTCAGCCTCCTTGTTTGTTTATGCACAACGCCTTTCACTCAACTTGCATCTGTTCTGCATTTCAGGTTGACCATGAAGTGCGGTCTCTCCTGCATATTTATGGTTGTCTTCCTCACTGTCCATGTGATGGCCAGGCTGGCCACTGGTTCCAAAGGAGATTCCTCCTGGATATTTCAGCGATGCCTTAGTGGCTGTCTGCTCAAGAATTGCACAAACATAAAGTTGTTCAGCACCCGACAGCCAGTTAGCTTACGTGTAATGGGCTGGCGATGTGAAGATGAGTGCAAATACACATGCATGTGGTCAACTGTGGATGCCTTTCAGAGGGAGAACCAGCGTGTTCCTCAATTTTATGGCAAGGTAAGGTAAAGCTAGACTCCATCCTGCATTCATTTTTCAATCAGCACCACTTATTTATTGCCTCTGTATTTATTTATTCTTTTTTGTTTTTCATTTTTTTTTTTTTTCATTTTTTTTGTTTTTCTTTCTTTTTTTTGTTTTTCTTTCTTTTTTTTTCATTTTTTTTTTTTTTGTTTTTCATTTTTTTTTTTTTTTTTTTCATTTTTATTTTTCATTTTTTTTGTTTTTCATTTTTTTTGTCATTTTTTTTGTTATTTTTTTAAATTTATTTTTTATTTTTATGATTAGCATGATGGATGATATTTTTATTATTTACTATGAAGATATGATAAATTATTTATGGAACCATTTTCAGTAATCAAAAAAAAATTAAAAAAAACTTCTGTATGGTTTTAGGCGTGTTTAGCTTTGACTTTCATCTAAAAAGATCGCTTTGATTCTGTTTTGACATTTTTTTTTTTTTATCTGTGTGTATTTTATTATATAGTTTTATCAGAATTGGCATTTTCATCATATGTGTTTATTTTTAAAAAAAAGGAAAAATACAAATCAAATACAAAAGATACATTACTTGAAAAAAAAATCATTAATATGACATGGAAAACCACTAAGAGAAAAAGTAACCACATCAAGTGTTGAAAATCATTTCTACTAATTTGGTTAGGTTAGTCTCTTTGATGTGTACTTTCTACATCAGTTAAGTAAAAATAAATCAACTGGATTGTATTTTTGTGTGTAAATTCCTGATTAAAAGTAATGTGATGGCTAATATGGGCATGTGCCTGAGTGTTTAGAACATTTGCTTTCTGTTCATGAGACCCTGGTTCAAATCTTACCATGGTCGATTTGTCAGGATGGTAACTTCTTGATGTTATCAGCCTGGTGGAGGTGATCCCAGAATGTGCCACATTTGGAAAGTGCCTGAAAACCATACCATGTGTGAGTGAAATTGGGTAGGTGCAACTCTTGTAAGCTGTCAATGGTTTGTGCTAGAACAAAGTCACAAGTCATTATGATCAAGGGTTTGAGTGTGCTGGCTGGGGTTCAGGCTGTTGATCACACTAGATAATGTGCACTCTCCCAGAAATTGTAACTAAGGTCTGCTCAGCATAGTTGCAGTATAAACCACAGGGTGTGCTCTGTGGGTGTTGAACAAATACAAATGTGCCTGAGCAGGCGTCTGCAGTGGGGATTAGCTAGCTGCCCTGGTAGGCAGTCATCCTCAGATATGAGTGGCTGTGCCATTTAGAAGGCTAATCTTCATTTTAAAGTTGTTGATGTTCATATATATGATGGTATTGAAAGAAATTATTCTTTACAGAAAATAAAGTTAGGAGTGTCAGAAATTTTAAAATTATCTGAAAGCTAACAGAAGAGGTAGATATATCAAAAGAAATTTAAATTGGAAAAGACAAAATGCATTATTTCTGTTTTCTTGGTCTCTCAATGCTAATACTTGGCTACTCATTTATTCTTATTTTTGTTCTGAGCTTCCACTGTCTAAATATCCATTTTTTTTATTTTATTTTATTTTTTGAGCTAAATCATGTAAAAGTGTAAATGTTATCGGAATGTTGGCAATACTACTTTTTTTTTTTTTTTTTTTTTTTTTTTTTTGTCATTGCCATCTTGACCTTTGCATGTTAGAAAATCACCTATGCAAATACTACTGAAATTTACGCATGCGTGAGCCTAGCAGAAAACTTTTTTTTTAATTATATTGGGGGGGTGGGGAGGTAAACATGTGCACTGGTTGTCAATTAACCTCAGTTTATAATTCAAAGGATAACCTGTCACTTACATCAGCAAAGCTGCCAACTTTTCAAGAGATAAGAGATGAAAAACAAAAACATGATTCCACATCTGTACAACAAGAGCTCTTTCCTCTTTTCAACCAGTTCTTGTGGAATTTATCCAAGGAGGTGCTGAAAAGTTCTTGGTTCAAACCATTTCCCAAAATCTGACCAATTTTGCTACTTATTGGCATATTACTTAGTTTAAATAATAACTAAGTTTAACTATCCACTGAACTGAATGAATTTAAAATTGGTGTTGTCTTACCTGACAGAATGTCATTGGAGAATTGTAATTAGTGGTTCATCTTAAATTATTTGATTGATTGATTTTTTTTTTTTTTTTTTTTTTTTTTAAATTTAATCAGGCCTAAGGCCAGAGTGAATTGTCACCAAAAATGCAAAAAATATATTTCTATGGATAGAAAAACATTAGCTCTGTTTTGATTGATCAAGCTTTAAGATTGATTATAGAGGCAAACTTTTACTTTGGTGTGGGATATGTTTTTACAAGCATAATTAACAGAGCTGTCATGGAGATACCATGTAGAAGAAGAAAAAAAGTATTTCAGGACTGAAGTCATATCACATATTTGACTCTAGTGATTCTATTTCTTTTGTCTAATTCCAATTTCTTTATAAATGGCAAATGTGTTAATTTTGAGTTGATGTTTATCAAGCACAATTTGATTAATTTCTGATAGCCAACAAGCCTTTTATATTGCCTTCATTGACTAAGTTCACCTACAGTCAAGACAAATTAGGAATTTTCTTTTCTTGAAAAATTAGCTTTAATACAGAAAATTGAGTTTTAACATAATTTAAAGCTTGTGTTGTTACATTGTGATTTTGTTTGTTTTCTGACTTTAATTTTAATTTCTGCTTAATTGACATTTATAAAAATGGCTCTCACTTATAAAATTTTATAATTAATGCCACAAGGAGGATATCAGGAATCCCCCACCCCTGAAAAGTAAATAAAAATGCACATACATAGGAAAGATTAATGTTTTTTATTTATCCTGATATCTCGGTTCCTTTTAATGAATCAACAAAAGAATGCTATAAAGAAGTGTATATCTCTTTGCATTAAAATTGTTTACTTTTAAGATCCTTCCCCACTTTCTTAACAGGAAATTGGAATAAATGTATTATCTTATAAAAAAAAACAAAAACCTGTATTGCAAGTTATACATTTATCAACCAACAAGTACACTTAGTTCAGGCAATCATTTCTCTCTTACTATCATCAAATGTGACTCGTAGATTTCTATATATTGAGTCATTTTTTTGTTCCTAAAATTTTTTAAAATTTTACTGCATGTCATTTTTGTTTTTCTTTTTTCAATGTTTTTTTATTCTGTTTAATTAAAAATAGGCATTTCAAAATAATTTAGTGTCATAGACATGCAGGCAGAAAAATAGAATTGGTGAGCAGAGTTCAATTTCTGGTTTAGTCTGTTCCATTGACTTTCATGATAATTCTTTTAAGAGAAGTCATGAAGTTATCTTCTCTTCTCATCCCTGCCAGCTATAGGTTAAGTATTAGGTTAGACTGGGCTCTCTAGCCTTGGTTGGCATCCTGTTTAGCAGAACTACTACTATGAAAGCAATGGGAAATGACTCCACTATTTTTCACAAGAAATCATAGTAATTCACAAAAAAAAAGAAAAAGAAATTGTGATGATTACCTGCATCTTGAAGAGACATGGCATTTAAAACAAAAAAGAAAAACACTATCATTAAAAAGCTTTTCTTATTAGTCAGCTTTTCAGATTACTTATCAATGTTTTTTCTTTTCCTTTTTAATCACTTCATTCCAAGCAAGGTGATAATGTCACAAAGACACTACAGGATATTGGGAGTGGAAGAGAACAATAAAGCTTTAGTAAGGAGAAAGGACAATAAAAAAAAAAAAAAAAAAAAAAAAAGGATCCAGGAAGTCAGATGGTGGTGATTGGCATTGCATTTAAATTTTTGAAATTTGTAGATGGCAGGGAAACAAACTGGTGGAGTTCTACAGGTGAGAAAAACTATTAGAATAGAACTTAGTTATGTCTAGCTGATTCAACAGTAAAACAATGAAACCTCGTTGCCAAGTAGTATGATTAAAATTATGTAGTCATGGTACCAAGGAGGAAAGTTCATCAGAATGATTGCCATGAAAATATTTATAGAAAAGTCAGAGAAGCCATGTCACAATGGTTGGAAAGTGACTGAAGCTGAGATGCCAGGTCAGAATAGGTTATGTTACAGACCCTTCTTTTGATTTTGTCAATAATTTTGAGATATGGCAGGAGCATCAGACCAGATGTGCTAGCAATATTCAATGTACACATTATTTCAAAAAGTATAGAATAAAAAAATATCACACACACTCATATAATAATAATTTTTGCTTGTATTTTTTCTTAGTTTTTCAAGCTCATTTAGATTCTGATTTTAAATGCTGGATATGCTTACAAAAATCAACAATTTATATAAACAGAACTGATTTTTCTTAAGTCTTTTGTAGGCTTAACTTATAAAAAGAAATGTCCTGATACTGAAATTGGAAAGTGAAATATGTATAATTCATTGATGCTTTTTGTTTCATTCTGAGCAATAACCTTTTTTATTCTTCTGCATTTCAATAACAATTTCTTACAAATCGTTGTTATTTTCTGAACATAAAAATATACAGTGAGATAACACATGACGGTTTGCTTTTGAAATGTCAAAACTCTGCTGAGATTGTAGAAAATAAAAATGTTGTGGGTGCTTTGAAAATGACTAAGGCAGAGAAAATGGAGTCATTAGGTAACATTTCATAATGTTTGCCTTGCTTTTATGTTCTCTGCTGGATGGATGCCCATGTGATTGTTGGCTGTGTTTTTCAGACAAAAATCTATGCGGAACAAAACAGGTTATTACAAATAAAGCAATTTCATACATTTACTTCCTGTGAATGAGTTACATTCATATCATGTGTAGTGCGTATGTTCCAATGGTAATGGAACAAGGTATTAGCCGTTTCCTTATAAGGAAACATTCAGCATTCATTGACCAAACAGCCAGTGCTACTGTCAGTTGAAATTTATAAAATCTTTCTATTAAAACAATTCTTCAGGTAAATACATTCCTCAAGTTATTGTTCTTTCCAGTCTTAGCCTCTTGTATGAAATAGTATGGAGCATACATCCTTATATTATTATTTTCTCTTTGAGT